TGACACTGCTGGACTAGCCTACGTGAAGTCCGAGCTGCAGAAGAGACACACGTGCACAGACCTGGGTGAACTGCGCAGCTACCTTGGCTTGCAGATCACTCGGGACAGAGCACGCCGCACCATTACCTTGACTCAGTCACACATGGTGCAGCAGGTCCTTCAGCGCTTCGGCTTCACGTACTCCTCGCCTCAGGCCACTCCTCTGTCTACTCGCCACTCGCTCTCAGCTCTGCCTTCGGATGAGTCCGTAGAGTCGAGTGGCCCGTACCCAGAGCTTGTTGGCTGCCTCATGTACCTGATGACCTGCACACGACCTGACCTTGCGTACCCTCTTAGCATTCTTGCACGCTATGTTGCTCCTGGGAGACACCGACCAGAGCACATGGCTGCAGCGAAGAGGGTGTTGCGCTACTTGTGCAGTACGTCGGGCATGGGGCTAGTGCTTGGAGGGCGGAGTCCAGTGGTCCTCACTGGGCACGCGGACGCTTCTTGGGCTGACGACCAGGCTACGCAGCGGTCGTCGCAGGGTTACACCTTCAGTCTTGGTTCCGGCTCTGTCTCGTGGCGGGCTACTCGCTCGTCCTCTGTTCTCGGCTCCAGTTGTGAGGCTGAGATCTACGCCGGGGCCATGGCTGCACAGGAGCTTCGCTGGCTCACCTACCTGCTGACTGACCTTGGAGAGCAGCCTCGTTCTCCTCCAGTGCTGTACGTAGACAACAAGGCCATGCTGGCCTTGTGTCGAGAGCAGCGCTTGGAGCACAGAACGAAGCACATTGCTCTCCGTTACTTTCTTGCTCGTGAGCTGCAGCAGCGTGGTCAGTTGCGACTTGCGTACGTGGCCTCTGAGGCCAACACTGCTGATGTGTTCACCAAGGCACTTGCGCCTTGTGACCATCAGCGCTTCTGCACTCAGTTGGGTCTTGTACCTGTCTTGCCTCACTTGCTCTCCTCTTGACCTTGCTTGTACTGTCACATATATATACCTGCTCTTGCTTGTCTAGCTCTATATATATATGTGTCCTCCTGCATGTGAACTGGCCTTGTGGCCTTGTCGTTGTGCTCGGACTGTGTGGTGACTTTGTGATCCACCCTGAGCTTGCTGTGCTTTGCGTGACTGGTCTTGTGACCCCTTGTTCTCCCCCACTTTGCCTATGGGGGTGTGTCAGAACATTATATAGCTTATGCTGTTGTGTAGGCTATAGTGGGGTATCCCATAGGGGGTACAGCCCAATTAGGGTTTCCTATATGTACTCACTTCATTCATAGTTCATTCATTCGCGTTCTCCTTCCCACATTCGTCGCCACTTGTTTTTTTTTTTTTTTTTTTTTTTTTTTTTTAGGGTTGCGGGGCGCGCTGGTGCGCTTAGCAGCGGGGCGCGCTGGCGCGCTTCGCAGTGGGGCGCGCTGGCGCGCTGGGCAGCGGGGCGCGCTGGCGCGCTGGGCTGCGGGGCGCGCTGGCGCGCTGGGCTGCGGGGCGCGCTGGCGCGCTGGGCTGCGGGGCGCGCTGGCGCGCTGGGCTGCGGGGCGCACTGGCGCGCTAGGCTGCGGGGTGTCAAAGAGCTAAAGCTAGTTAGGCTTAGAAGCCATGGCTAGAGTAGCTTAGGAGATTAGGTTTAGGGTTGAAGGGGGATGTCGAGAGAGTTCCAAAGGAGAAAGGTGGTTCAATAAAGAGAGAAGGTACAAGGATATAGGCAAAGCAAGCAAGGTGCACCACCAAACAATGTAACACTACACTAACTACTGCTACAAGCAGTTTATAAAAGAAATGTATTTCAACACACCCCCTAAACTACTTGCAGCAGGAAGCTAATGCAGAGACACCCCCTGAAGGGGTACACCAAGCGCAGCGGAAGACGGCAGAGAGGAATGCGAGGAGGAGGAGACGAGAGAGAGAGAGGGGAGAGGAGAGGAATGAGGAGAGGAGGTGGGGGAGCCACGCGGCGAGCCCCTCTTACTAACCCCCGTTTTACGAAGGGGGGGGATGAGAGAGGGATGAGGAGAGGAGGTGGGGGAGCCACGCGGCGAGCCCCTCTTACGAACCCCCTGTTTACAAAGGGGGGGTGAGAGAGGGAGGAGAGGAGGTGGGGGGAGCCTAGTGCGGCAAGCCCCTCTTACTAACCCCCTAATTCCACGCCCCCTTTCAGCCACCCCCCTTGTCAATCGCCCCCCTTGTCAATCGCCCCCTTGAACCTCATGCCTTTCCCCCCACCCTTCCTCCAACGCCACCCCCTCACCCTCCCCCCCCTTCCCCCCCACCCCAGGAGGGGCGGCAGGAAGAGAGAGGAGGTGGGCTGGCGCATGATGGTCACCCCCGCCACCCCCTCACCCTCCCCCCCCTCCTGCCCCCCACCCCAGGAGAGGCGGTAGGAAGAGAGAGAGGAGGAGGGACGGCCGCTGGTTTGTCACACCCGCCAACCCCCTCCTCCCCCCACGGCTGCAGGCGCAGCAGGAAGATGGAGTCGAGGGGGCGGGGTAGGAGCTGCTCCGCGGCTGCCCGCCACCCCCATATCCCCCCCCCCCCCCCCCCCCCCCACGGCTGCACGCGTAGCAGGGAGAAGGAGGCGGGGGGGCGGGGTAGGAGCCGCACCGCGGCTGCAGGTTCTGGCGCGCTCCCGAGGCGCGCGGTGTGCAGAAATCCGCGCGCGACAGTGTCCGGGGGCTCCGCGACGGAGCGTGAAACCACCGCGCGCGCCCGGGGCGCGCGGCGGGCAGGAGACCGTCGCGCGCCACGGGCACGCGACGGGCAGAAACGGACGCGCGCCACGGGCACGCGACGGGCAGAAAACCGACGCGCGCCACGGGCGCGCGACGGGCAGGAAAGAGGCGCATTGGCGGAAGCTATCGGTGGGCCCATTAGGTCTTAGGAGCTTAAGTCCTCTGATACCATGTCAAAGAGCTAAAGCTAGTTAGGCTTAGAAGCCATGGCTAGAGTAGCTTAGGAGATTAGGTTTAGGGTTGAAGGGGGATGTCGAGAGAGTTCCAAAGGAGAAAGGTGGTTCAATAAAGAGAGAAGGTACAAGGATATAGGCAAAGCAAGCAAGGTGCACCACCAAACAATGTAACACTACACTAACTACTGCTACAAGCAGTTTATATAAGAAATGTATTTCAACACGGGGCGCGCTGGCGTGCTTAGCCACGGGGCGCGCTCGCTTGCTGGGCTGCGGGGCGCGCTGGCGCGTTTAGCAGCGGGGCGCGCTGGCGCGTTTAGGGCTGCGGGGCGCACTGGGCTGCGGGGCTACTCGTGGGCAGAAGGGGCGCGCAGAGCAGGGGCTGCTCGCGGGCAGCAGGGTCGCTTGGGTCAGGGGCTGCTCGCGGGCAGCAGTGGCGCGCAGGGCAGGGGCTGCTCGCGGGCAGCAAGGGCGCTCGGGGCAGGGGCTGCTCGTAGGCAGCAGTGGCGCACGGGGCAGGGGCTGCTCGCGGGCAGCAGGGGCGCGCGGGGCAGGGGCTGCTCGCGGGCAGCAGGGGCGCGCGGGGCAGGGGCTGCTCCCGGGCAGCAGGGGCGCGCGTGACAGTAGGGTAGCGCGCTAGGGCAGGCAGTGCAGCGTGACACTGTGCAGTAGCTGCAGGGCAGCGTGATACTGTGCGAGAGAGCCGGACAGCGCAAGGGCGCTTCCGGCAGGAATTTAGCAAAACGATCGGTGGGCCCTAAAAAACTTAACAGGTTTCCTGCTCTGAATACCATGTCATAATAACTGTGTAGGAATGAATGAACTATGAATGAGTTGGGTACAAGTACTAACCATAAAGTGTTGTACCCCTTGTAGGCTAACCCACTATAGCCTAGAGAGAACACAAACATACAGTTTGACATATACAACATTCTCGTCCAACGATATACAAGCAATCCAAGTATACGTCTAGGGTGGGTGGGTGGGGATGGAACTGCAAAGTTCCAAATGAAGACGTGGGTGGAGGTCAAATGGCCTCGAACCCCCGTTATGTACTCGGCGAATTGTAATTCGCCGTTACCTTGCTGCGATACAGTCAGCTGGGCTTTCGCAGGTACGCATATTTAGGAAAATACTAGCTCAAACTTCTTGTAACTCGGAATCCAGTTGTTTTCTTCGTCCCCATTTGCCTACCAGTCATGTGTTACCGTATTATTCCGGCTATAGGACCCGGGGGACTTTCTACAAATGCAAAACAAAATGCTAGGGTGGACATATAGTTGGCATACAGTTTTTAAGACCCGGGTGTGCTTATTTGTCTAACAATGTTATGGGATTTACCATGTACTGTTCGTTTTCAAGGGGGGGGGGGGGGGGGGGGGGGGGGGGGGGGGGGGGGGGGGGGGGGGGGGTCTTATATTTGGTAACAAAAAACACCCCTCGTGTGGAAATCTCACGCGAGCGGCGCGTCAGATTTGTGTCACAATTCGCGTCTGACACACAGAAACATGTCAGAATCGAAATCTGACACATACAGCGTGTCAGCATTCGAAGTAATGTCTATAAAAGCTGACGTGCAATTGCATTTACGACTACTGTATATAAAAGGGGGGTCTTATATTGTTTAGGGGCAAAAGGGGGGTCCTCACATTTTGGTACCAAAATAAGAGTCCTAGTACCCCATAGAGAGTCCCGGGGGACCCTTTTACCGGCGGGTCCTATAGCCGGAATAATACGGCAACGTAGAGAGTGAAACGAGGATTGCACTAAGGGGTTAAAATAGTACAGTGGGAGAAGGCATGAACAAACAATAGCGTATATAACCAGTAGCGTATCATGCTAACGGTGACACTCATCTTTGGGTTATCACCACCACAAGACTGGCACTTACTCCATCCATAACAATCGGAATGCAAAATGTACAGTATTTTTACGGTATTGTGGAGTTCTCAAGCCTTCTCATTCAGACTCTCTATTTGGTTAACACCGACCAACCAATCCAATCCGAAGAGGTTGGTGCCCTTTTTATGAAGCAACAGCGGTAGCCGGGATCTTGTTGCTACGGCACATGCTACACAATCAAATTTCAGAACACAGCTGGATGCACATCTATAGAGTGTAGAGAAGAATGGCAGTGAGAGTGTAGCCAGCGAAGAAGAGAACACAGCACACAAAGTCAATTCTAGTTGCGAGAAGATAGTTGCCTGACTTGGCATGCTCGTCGTCAACGGGCTTGAGGTGGTATCCAAAGAGGCTGAATTTCTGTACAACATACAAGCAGGAGGACAAGTACAAACAAGAGATCACAACGAAAGAGCACCCAAGTTCCAAAAGAACGGAGAATGTGATTGACGAAAATACTTGACAACATGAGGCACACGACTGAAATACACAACACAGAACTGGGCACACCAGATGCGCGTGGTATGACCATGACCCCCAACATAGCCCCCCCCAAGCTCTTAAGGCCATTCACCGAAACAGAAGACCAATCAAACACGCATGCCCACTCACCCAGGTATGGCCCTCCACTTTCTGAAGTGACGGCTTTTCTCCTTCACTGCTGGCTGCACCATTCCCGTCTTCCACCTCCTCGTCGTCGTCCTTCTCTGAAACAAGCTCCTCACTCTCCTCCCCTGCGCCGTCACCCTTGCCGGACCCAAACGCACTCTTCTGAGGGCTTTGGGGCCCTGGCTCAGCAGTGGAACCCTGCATGGCACGTGTGGCCTCTGCTGCCATGTCCCCCACCGTCTCCACCACGTCCTTCTCCAGCTGCACACAGCGGCACACAGCGGTACACAGCGGTACACAGCGGTACACAGCGGTACACAGCGGTACACAGTGGCACATATCAAGCGAGTGCAGTGACGAATTTCAAGAGAGAGCACGGTCAGCAGCCGTCAAACGAAACAACAGGGGCGACAGGAAGGCAGGCAGGCAGGCAGGCAGGTAGGCAGGCAGGCAGGTAGGCAGGCAGGCAGGCAGGCAGGCAGGCAGGCAGGCAGGCAGGCAGGCAGGCAGGCAGGCAGGCAGGCAGGCAGGCAGGCAGGCAGGCAGGCAGGCAGGCAGGCAGGCAGGCAGGCAGGCAGGCAGGCAGGCAGGCAGGCAGGCAAACAGCAAGAAGGGGATGAATGCGTGTGAATGTGGCTTCCTTGCGTGCATGGAAAGCTGCCATACAGGGGCAGATAGTGGCATGAGGCAAGGTGCACAAGGAGCATGGCATGGCAGCAGGTGGTGGCAGGTGAGTGAGAGCGCAGGGATGGCTCACCCGTTCGGCAATGAGGTAGACTATGAGTGTTTCCAAGGCAGTGAGACCGATGAAGACGTATGAGATGATGACCAGGTAGCCAAACTGCGTCATCACTGATGAGCGCGGCAGCTGCATGGGGGGGATGGGGGTGGGGGGGGAAGACACAAGGGGAAAACGGAGAGATGATGGAAGGGAGAAAGGGAGGGGGTCAGGGAAATGGAGGGAGGCGAGGTGAATGCAGCTGAGACGGGTAGAAAAGGAAGTTGTTGTGGCGAGTAAAGAAGTGGAATGCGGTGGAGGGAGGGTGAGAGGGTTTGATGCTTGCTGCGTGCTGGTGGTGAGGTGTTGTTGAACTTGTTAGTTAGCAGCCGTGTGAAGTGAAGCATCCACGGTGTGGTGTTCACTCCGTGCGAATGCAATGAAGAGAAGAGAGTGCTCCCGGCATCAGCCGCACAAGGAAATATGGCTATGCAAGGCAAGGCAAGGCAACATGCACGCACCCACGCACCCATGCACCCACGCACCCATGCACCCACGCACCCACACACCCACGCACCTATGCACCCACGCACCCACGCACCCACCTGGCTATCAATGACGAACTGAACGGCTGCGAGGGCGAGGAAGAGCGTGACAAAGGTGGCGGATCGAGTCTCGATGTCGTCAGGTTTAGCGAAGAAGACGGAGAAGCAGAGATACACGCTCAGCATCACGGGAATGACGATCTGACAGGGGCCGAGTGGGTCACACGTGCAAGGGACGAGGACTTGTCGAGGTCAGCGATGCAAGGGGAAGGATGGGAGGAGCAGGAGGAGGGGAGGAGAGGAGAAGAGGAGGAGAGGAGGAGAGGAGGAGAGGAGGAGAGGAGGAGAAGAGGAGAGGAGGAGAGGAGGAGAGGAGGAGAGGAGGAGAGGGGGAGAGGAGGAGAGGAGGAGAGGAGGGGAGGACGAGAGGAGGAGAGGGAGAGGAAGTGGACGGGCAGCGGATGCAAACAGGATGGAAGAGAGAGAAAAAGATGACGTGAGGAAGATAATGGGGATGCGGTTGATGAGGATGATGGTTACAAGGAAACAATTAGCGGGTGAGAGTACGTGTGAGAGAGGCGTACGGAGATGATGAAGACGCCACTGGTGCGGGAGATCTGGATGGTGAAGACACACGACGTGGACTCGTTCACGTTGCTGCTGCTGCCACTGTCCGATGGGGAGTTCTGATTGAACGTGTACCAGGGGTCCTCTGCACAGCTCAACGTACAACACGACACGCATGGCAACACGCATGGCAACACGCACGGCACAGAAGATACGTCTTGTTAATCAACTTGAAGGAACCGGTACTAAGAATGGTGATGGTCGTGGTAAGTGGCGGTGGTTACCGGAAGGGTAGCGGTGGTTACCAGGAGCATTGCGCGGTGGTTACCAAGAGAGTAGAGGTGGTTACCAGGATCCTTGTGCGGTGGTAACCGGAAGGGTAGTGGTGGTTACCAGGAGCGTAGGTGGCGGAGGTGGAGACGGTGGTGGCAGAGGGAGTGCAGTTGAGCGCCACATCATTGATCTTCCAGCCCGTGACCTCATCATTCACGTACGTGCCTCCCCCTCCCCCCAGCTGCCCGCCCCCCTGCTCCGACTGCCGCCCCGAGTTGCTGCCCACCAGATAGAACTCCCCGCTCTCCACCTGAACGCTCAGCCGCAGCGTCTGCCGTGCGTGCCATGCAGGAGGGGAGGAGGCAGCGGCGGAGCCAGGGGCGTGGTTGTGATGCAGGAGGGAGGGAACAATGCCGTGAATTGTCTCCTGCTCACTTGTGCGTGCGTGCGTGCGTGCGTGCGTGCGTGCGTGCGTGCGTGTGGGCACATGTATGTGCATAGGACCGGTGAAAGAGGAGGCAGAGAGAGAGCGAGTGTGGGACAAGAGCATATAGGTGGGAGACGTACCTGAGAGTCAAGAGGAAACTTCTTGAAGCTGAGGGGTGAAGAGAACTCGCCTGTTGCACACACATGCGCACATCGACAAGCATGGGCACACGCACGCACCCATGCACGCACGCGCGCGCGCGCGCACACACACACACACACACATAGACACGGCGGTTGAGAATGCGTGAGATCATCATTGGTTGCATGAATACACGAGGTACTGACAGTTGATGGAAGCCGTGTGGGGATTCTGTGGGAGAGGAGCAGAGCGAGCACGCTATGACAGACGAGTAGACCAAGGAGAGAGACGCAAGGCCATGCAACGGACGCAGCGAAAGGCGACGGGAGTTGGAGGGAGGAGCGAAGGGATTGGAGGGAGAGGAGGGGGGTGGAGGGAGAGGAGGGGGGTGGAGGAAGAGGAGGGGAGGTGCACCTCCAACGGTTACTTCTCTGTCAATCGAGCTGGCCTCGTTGCTGTACTGCCCGAAGAAATAGATGCTCTCTGCTCACGCGGGCGGTGGGGGGATGGCGGGAGGGAGCGAGGGTGTGAGGGAGAGGGAGAGAGAGTGGAAGGAGGGGGGCGGAAATGAGGGTTGGGAAGAAGAAGGGGGAAGGGCGAGGAGGAAGGCCGGAAGAGGAGGAGTCGACGGACGTTAAGGCCGGCCGAATGCGAGGGCGTGCGGCGTGTGTGTGGGCAGCGAGAGAGATGCATTCATGCATGCAAGCGGGCGAGGGAGGTGGGGAGCGGCGAGCGGGCTTACCGGTTTGGAAGCGGTCCTGGGGGTAGAAGAGGACGTTGTCGATGGTGAGCGAGGGGATCCAGAGGGCGTCGCAGCACGTGGTGCCGGACGGAGTGCACGGCTTGCTGCAGCCGTCCATCTGCGGCAGGTTGTTCTGCTTGGGCGTCTTGAGGCACTCGTCCTTCCCGCTGATGTTGAACCCCGAAAACGTCACGTTCGGCTTGCACTTGGCCGTCGCCAGCCCCGTGATGGCCGGCCCAAACGCGCTCACCGCGTTGTTTATCGCCAGCGTGTCGTTCACTGCCGGCCCGCACGCACGCACGCACGCACGCAAGCACAGGCAGAGGCGGAGGGAGAGGCAGAGGCAGAGGCCGAGGCAGAGGCAGGGGGGCAATGAGAAACGGAAACCAGAGTTAATCACAATCGCGATGAATAGCAGACAAAGTACAACCACACGATTAACCGACTCACAATCACGCGCACGCATCACGTCAAAAGGGCGCTTGTGGAGGCTGAAACGCACCTCGAGGATCTCGCCACGTGGACACGACTTGGAAATACGCCATGTAGCTATACTTCACGGCTGTAGCGGGAGAGACGGACATGGAGGGACGGGAAGGTGGACGTGGGTGTGGGTGTGGGTGGTCGTGTGTCACACAACGGTTGTGTAAGGGCACTTGCAAGTGAGTGGTGGAAGAAAGGATTGTCTGTCCGCGCGCACGCGCGTGTCAGCGGCAAGAACGCGCGAGTGCGCGCGAGTGCGTGCGACCTCAATGCAAGAGGAGAAACGCCGTCATGCGGGTTACGGCTCACCGTCGACGCTGACGAGTTTCTTGAGCTGCACGGAGAGAAACACTTTCGGCTTCTCCGCCACAAGCCCCGCCGTGTACGGGTCGATGCCCTGACCAATCAGCGGACAGTCCGTCTGCGCTGAAGCTAGCTGAACGCCTCCGTGATTGGCGCCGAATTTCGCGGTCCACGGGAGCAGCATGATTGCGAGCAACAGCACGAGGGGAAATTCTCTCCGGTCAGCGATACGAGCCGCCATTGCCTCCGTCCGACCTAGTATGACTCAGGAGACTATAACACGTTTCTCAATGCGCGGTGAACGACTGACTTTCCTAGTAGGCCAGCGAAAATGTTGAGACGCGAAGGAAGGCTGCGCGAGAGTGTATCCTGCAGCTGCTTGTGTAATGACGGGTGTGTGTGAAGTGAATTGGTGGATGGATTGAGTGAAGGGGAGCCGCTGGTGGTGATGAGTGCGGAATGAACTACGGACAGAATGTTGGGGGAGAAAGGGGGAAGCATTCTTCTGCGTCGCCCAGCGTAGGGGGGCAGGCGGAACAGTCGTGGAAGACATCGGCAGCGCAAATATACGGGCACGGTTTGCCCCGAAGTTGGGCAGCCAACGGTCAGCTCCACATGTATGTTGCCCAAACGCTCATTAAAGCAGCTGTGTCTCCCACTATGTATGGGTCGGAACTCTCAAACATATTTTCGATCTGTAATAATGACCTCTTAAATATTTCAGATTACACTATAAAACACTTCCTAGGTGGGTTAACAGTTTCCAGACTAAGTTCCCAGGTCGTGCTACAAACCTTGCGGAGCCCCTGACATACCGAACCAGGGCTGGTCCGAGGGACCCTGAGTACATGCCCGAAACAGTGGTCAAAGGATCCCCGCCTACTCCGAACCAGCGCCCAAGCCAGAACTTCAACCACTCAAACCGAATCACAACCTTCCATCCTTATCTTCTATTCAATCCTGCCCGTTCCGAATCCCTTACCTGCTTCATCGGCTCCACCACCGACCCGACACATCTTCCCCCGAGCAACCCTCCTTTCATCCCCTCCTCGCCCCTTTGCCCTTTCCGCGCGCACCCGTTACCACAATCATCCGCTCACTGCAACACTGTGTCCGTCGGTCGGCTCACAGCCGCAGCGCCATCACTCCACACCACACCACACATGACACACCCCGCCCCGCATTGCATTGCATCTCAAGCTGCCAATCCAATCCAATAGCACTGCTTTCTGGAGCGAACCACGGTTGGCCCTCTTGCTCCTTATTATTCCTATTCCCCAGATATCCGCGGTCACTGTCAATAGCACTGCTTTCTGGAGCGAACCACGGTTGGCAATTCGAGGACTGGTATAACTTTTGAGTCGACTCAAAAATCGACTGGTAGAACGGGTCCTTAGCATGGGCTCCTTCATCGTCCCCATCAATACGCTATCGCCATCCAATCGCCGTTTCCCGCGGATGATCACTTGCCGTGCCGCGGCAATTCCGCTGCTGCTGCTGCTACTCGCGCTCCTGGCGCCGGCGGATGAGCGCCGCGGCGGAGGCGGCGGAGTGCGCGGGGCGGTGGCGCAGACGGACTGTCCGCTGGTGGGGCAGGGCATCGACCCGTACTCGGCGGGGCTGGTCGACAACAAGCCGCCCGTCTACGTCTCCGTGCTCCTCAAGAAGCTCATCGCCGTCGACGGTACGCGCGCTTCTGTAGTACTACGACCTGCGTCGTCCCCACATTTTCGCACCCCCTTTCCCCCTCCCCCCGGCCCTCCTCCCCGTCCCCCCTAGCGCGCTTTCGCGGCCATCGGTACCTACGCGCGTGCGCGCATTTTCTCCGCTCCTTCCACGCCGCCATTCGTCCCTTCCCGCTCAAATGTTGACCTTTCCCAAGTGGCTGCCGTTTGCAAGCGAGTCTCAGGGTCATCCGCATTGCACGAAACGCAGGGCATTCGCTTTCTAGACAATCGCGCGGCCTCACCCCTCCCCTCTCCCTTCCTTCCCCATCCCGTGTGGCCGCGCATCGCGTCGCTTCGTCCCTTCCCGCTCAAACGTATGTTGGCATACCCAATCGGGTGCCGTTGGCCTAACCACGTCTGGGTTGCCCCTCACCTCCAGCGTCCCTCTCCCCCCTCCCCTTTCCCCCACCTGTGGGCGCGCATGGCATGGCATGGCATGGCGGCGAGCAGAGGTCCAGTACAGCTACAGCGCCTACTTCTCCATCGTCACCACCTGGCGCGACCCGCGAGGTGCGTGCTGCTAGTTCGCCTCGCCCTCCTCGTGCTCCCCGCCTCCGTACCGTACCGCCGTGCCGTTGTGTCGTTTCGCGCGTGCGCACTGATCGTTGCGTCTCATGGTGGGAGTATTCCGCGCTCTTCTCCCGGCCCGGCTTGGCATGGCATGGCATGGCATGGCATGGCGTGGCGTGGCGTGGCGTGGCGTGGCGTGGCATGGCGTGGCGTGGCGTGGCGTGGCACGGCATGGCGTGGCGTGGAATGGCGTGGCGTGGCGTGGAATGGCACGGCATGACGTGGCATGACGTGGCACGGCAGTGAACGACACGGTGGCGATGAACAAGGTGCTGTCGGCGATGGGGCCGGCGCTGACGTGGAAGGCTGTGGAGGACTGCAAGCCCAACGTGACGTTTTCGGGGTTCAACATCAGCCAGAAGGACGAATGCCTCAAACACATCAAGCAGGTCAAAGGGGGACCCACGCGTGGGGGAATGACGCGCGGGGGATGTGGATAGGGATGTGGATGGGGATGGAGATGGGGATGTGGATGGGGATGGGGATGGGGATGTGGATGGGGATGGGGATGGGGATGGGGATGGGGACGGGGACGGGGACGGGGACGGGGACGGGGACGGGGACGGGGACGGGGACGGGGACGGGGACGGGGACGGGGACGGGGACGGGGACGGGGACGGGGACGGGGATGGGGATGGGGATGGGGATGGGGGTGTGGATGGGGGGGCGCAGGACAAGGGAGACGCGACCGTGAGCGGGATGGCCGAGCAGGGGGCTGGGGCATGTGCGATGGGGAGGTGATGCACCTGCTCTGCTTGATGCTTTAATCTCCCACCACCACCACCACCACCACCACCACCACCACCACCACCACCACCACCACCACCACCACCACCACCACCACCACCACCACCACCACCACCACCACCACCACCACCACCACCACCACCACCACCACCACCACCACCACCACCACCACCACCACACCAATTTCGTTCCACCCCCCTCCCTGCGACCCATCCTGCAGAACAACCTGCCTCAGATGGAGGGGTGCAGCAAGAAGTGCACTCCTGCGGGCATCACGTGCTGCGACGCCCTCTGGATCCCCTCGCTCACCATCCCCAACGTCATCCTCTATCCGCAAGACCGCTACCAAACTGGTCCGCCCCACCTCCTCTTCCCCCCCATGCCTGTATCTCGTGCCTGACCCCACCATGCCATGCCATGCCATGCCATATGGCGGATGCTCGCTCAGAAGCATGCAGGGCACATGCATGGCACATGCATGGCACATTCATGGCACGTGCATGGCACAGCAAATATATCTCCGCCTCCCTGTGTGCCCCTCGGGTCCTCGTGTGTGTGCGTGCAGAGAGCATATTCTTCTTTGGGGATTACAGCACCGATGCCAGTGCCGTCGACCGAGAGTCCATCGTTGAAGGTGCGTCGCATCCTTGCATGCCACTCTGGCTCTTCCTTTCTCCCTTTCTCTGCTGCCGAACCCCCTGCTCTGCTCTGCTCTGCTCTGCTCTGCTCTGTCGCCCTTGTCCTCCAGTGGCCGCCCTGCCCTTGAAAAGGCTGGCGTGTCTGTCCTTAAGCCACCTCCAATCCGCTGCCATCTCCTTCCCTCCCCCTCTCCCCCTCTCCCTCCCATCTCGGTCTCTTTCCCTCTCCAAACCGCGCAGGAACCTTCTCCTCGCCCTTTGCCTTCCGGAGATTCCCCTTCGACTCCCAGGTAGGTAACTCTCCATGGCTCCTCTCCACGCCCCCTTCAACTGCCACCCTGTCGACTACCATTCTCACCTTCCACCCAAATGCTCTTGAAAGAAACACCCGCAACCACGCACGTGCGTTTCATGCACAGCGGGCGACGCATCTGTGCGTGCAGTCTCCCTTCTTCCCTCCCTCCATCCCTCCCTCCCTCCATCCCTCCCTCCCTCCCTCCCTCCCTCCATCCCTCCCTCCCTCCCTCCCTCCATCCCTCCATCCCTCCATCCCTCCATCCCTCCCTCCCTCCCTCCCTCCCTCCCTCCCTCCCTCCCTCCCTCCCTCCCTCCCTCCCTCCCTCCCTCCCTCCCTCCCTCCCTCCCTCCCTCCCTCCCTCCCTCCCTCCCTCCCTCCCTCCCTCCATCCCTCCCTCCCTCCCTCGCTCCCTCCCTCCGTCCCTGCTCCCTATCTACCGTATTCCACATCTTCTCCTCTCTCTTCCCCGCCTTGCCTCCACTGCCTTGTATCTCCCCACTTCACTCGCCCCCCCTCACACCCCCCAGATCCTGCGGTTGGTGGTGGCAGTGGAGGGCAGTGGGGAGTTCTACCTGGTGGGGAGCAACTCGGGGCGGCAGTCGGAGCAGGGGGGCGGGCAGCTGGGGGGAGGGGGAGGCACGTACGTGAATGATGAGGTCACGGGCTGGAAGATTGAAAGTGTGGCGCTCGACTGCACTCCCTCTGACACCACTGTCAGCACCTCCGCCTCCTACCACCCCGGTGAGCACACGTGTGTGTGCGTGGGAGCGTGGGTCTGCATGTGCATAAGTTGGTGAGTGGGTGTGCGTGTGGGTGTGTGAGTGGGTGTGCGGGCGCGCGGCTGTGTGGGTGTGCAGGTGTGTGGGTGCACGCGTGCATGGGTCCTGGAGTGGGTGTGGTCATGTGTGCATGTGTATGTGTCTCGTGTGCAAAGCTGTCCAACGCATCATACCATGCCTGAGAACACTCCCTCTGCTTCCTCTCCTCTCACTCCTCCCTCTGCGCTCCCCTCCCCTCTCCCCTACCCCTGTCCCATCCCCTGCTCCTCCCACCTGCCCCATCACCTGTTGCCCGCTGCTGCTCCCCCGTGCCCACAGAGGACCCGTGGAACGCCATACCGGACAACACGGGCAGCAGCAGCAGTGGGGCAGCGAGCAACCAGAGCGCCACGTGCATCTTCACCATCCACATCCAACGCACCAGCGGCGTCTACGTCATCGCCGTACGCTGCCTCCCCTGCCTCACTCGCTGCTGCCATTCTCCCCTCTTTAACATCATTCCGCCTGCCTGCCCTTCGTCCCTGAACATGTTTGTGTACGAACACCCTATCTCCTCTCCCTCATCCTCTTCCTCTTCCCCCACCTCCTCCTCCTCCTCCTCCTCCTCCTCCTCCTCCTCCTCCTCCTCCTCCTCCTCCTCCTCCTCCTCCTCCTCCTCCTCTCTCCTCTCGCCTCTCTCTCCTCTCTTGCCACTTGCTCCTCCCCCGCCCCACCAGGTGCTGCTGCCGGTCATCCTGAGCGTCTATCTCACATTCACGGCCTTTGTAGCAAAGCCAGAGGATCTTGAGATTCGATTGGGGGCGTGCCTCACGCTCTTCCTCGCCCTCGTCGCCATTCAGTTCGTTATTGACAGCCAGGTTCGTCATTGACAGTCAGGTTCGGCATTGACGGCCAGGTCAGTTTGTCATTGACGGCCAGGTCAGTTGGCCAGGTCTCGCCCCTCACGCACATTCCCCTCGCTCTTCTCAAAATCATCGACTGCCAGTCAATTCGCACAAGCTTCTTCCCCCTTCCCTCCCCCACACCCCACCTTCTGTTACTCAGCTCTTAATCTCCTCTCGCCTTGCCGCAGCAGCCTCGCACCACCACTCCCTCCGTCCAATACCCTCCTCTCCCTTCACCCCGTCCTCCACAACCTTCTCCTTTGCCCTTCTTCCCCGCCCTTCTCCCCCTTCTCTCACCTCAGCACCCTCTTCCAAAACCAAATCCGTTGCTTCCTCGCTCATCCAACACTGCCCCTGCAAACCCCTCCTCAATCCATCTTCCCCCCCGTCCTTTTCCTCCCCTCCCCTGCATGGCATGGGTGCAGCTGCCGCGCACGTCAGCGATAACCAACTTTGGGTATCTGATGATCGTGTCGTACATTGTCATCTGGCTGTGCACCATGGAGACCCTCGTTGCCTTCTGCATCGCCGAGCGCATCGAGAAGAACGTGCAGGAGCTCGTCTCCGACTCGCTGCCGCCCGCCCTCTCCTTCAAGCGCCGCTCGCCTGCCCACAAGGCAGCGGGTGAGAAGCTGATGGGTTCTGGGGACGACGGGGATGGCGTTGATAGTAATGACCCTGAAGCCATTGCTGAAGCTGCAGTGGAGAGGAGGGCTGCTGCGGCTGAGGAGAAGCAGAAGAAGAACGTCCCGGGCCTGCTGGTATGTCCCAATAGGCTGCTACTTTGAAATGGTATTTTGCTGCTTTTCCCTGTTGTTCCTAGATAACATCGATCTTAACCTTCTCTTTCCGCAACTGATTGGTGCCTTGTCTTGGCAGAGATTCCGGTTGTTTGGCTACCATGTGAGGCAATCCAACCCCGACAGAGCCAAAGAAGGGAACTACCGGCTTGCAGTCAAAATAGACGTCATTGTTGGTCTTTTTCTTTTCACTGGCTACACCATTACCTGGATAGTTCTGTGCACCACTTGATTGATACTCTTTCCTGGATCGACCATGCATAAGGTGATCTTAGTTTTTGAGTGACACTTGTCTGTTTGGGAAGAGTGGGCGCCTTTCTCTGGTATGTCAGTCAGGGCTGCCCAATCCAGAGTCGACTCGAGACCAGACCTAAAATCATACACCATGCTTCTGCCCTCTTCGACAGTACAGTTCAAATAAACACAGTTTGGCGGTATGGTTGCTGTAAGGAATTTTCCCTAATTCCTTACTGAGGCACCTTATGCGTGTACAACTCCAACTTTCAGAGTTCAGGCTCGGTCCGACGACCTCTCGTCCCCTTCGGGTTTTCCAACCCCAAACATGCACCCGACCTTGCGCCGTCCCGCGGCCTCGGCCTAGCTAGCCTTTGCTATATTAGTGCTAGGACATGAGAATTTTTTTGTAACAAAAAAATTTACAGATTGTGGTTCGACTTGAAGAGGGGTTTGCTGTAAAGGAGACATTCTCCTTTACCTTTCGGCAGGTCCTCGGGACCTACCACCTAGTCTCATTTGCAGTTTTCACTTCTCTAGTTTCCACCAGCACACACTAAACCCTTCCTATGCCCAGATCTGGGCATAGGAGCACCTTGTTAGCAGACGTTATTGCTGTCCGTTTTAATAGCATGACTGGCGGACTTGTCTCCGCTGTTGGCGGAAGGCCTCCCGCTTCTCGAATGAATTTACGGAGCAGTGGTCGTGGTGGTTCTCCGCAACGTGATGGGGATCGGGACTCCTCTTCACGTCGTGAGCGTTCTCGCTCTCCCCGTGGCGGAAATTCTGCTGCTGTTACTGCTCTGGATTTATTGAATCGTGCGCGACAAGCTCCTCCTCGAAGCCCGAGAGCTGCAGGAGGCGATCGTGACGGATCTTCCCGTCGGGATTTTCCTCCCGGATTTCACGGCGAACGACGTGCGGACGGGTTACGTGGAGGCGAAACGAACGCACCTGACGGAAATGTCGCGCCCATTCCCGAGGAAGCCCCAGCAACGGCCGAAAACGCCACACGCGCGGCACCCTCTGGTCCTGCGCGTGGCGATCGTAATGATCGCGACCCTGCGCGTGTGGACCGTAATCATGAGGGTCCTGCGCTTGGGGCCGGCGATCGCGATCTCGGTCAAGATCGCAATCTTGACCGCCGCGCGGATCGCTAGGATCAGGACCAAGGGCGAGAATCTCGACGCCCAGATCCTGCACCTCGCCCGGCAAATCCGCGCGCTTCTCAGGATTGTCGAATCTCGCCTTCTGCAGCAGCGGATTTTGCCGAGATTCTCGCGCGTCTTGACCCGGCAGCCCAGCGAAACCTTCAGCGAATCTTCACGGGAGCTGCTGGCGAACGTGTTTCAGCGCGCTCCACTGCATCTACAGCGCCCCGCGCAGCAGAAAATTATTCCACTCGTTATACCAACAATGAAATTCCTGCCGCCGCCAACAACGAAGCCATACATCACGTCATCGGCCTCCTCGCTGCTCTCCAGCGCGGAAATAACGGCGATCCCGCACCGCCTTCAGGACCTGATCGTCCCGCTAGCAGCAGCGGCAGCACCACGCTCTCGCCTCCCCCCCTCCGGCCAACGAACCCGATGGCGACGACGCGGGCGACAACGCACCCATCGAGAATTCGGATGAAGGTAATGCAGCCCGTCCCAAACCCAGCTCTGCCACCTTCAGCCTTGCTCCCATCCCCCCTGCTCGCCCCCAGCTGCGTTCCTCCTTAGTGAAAAGTGATGGTATCCGCACGCAACTTTTTAGTTTCGAGCGTATTCAAGCTATTGCACGTCACGCCATTTCTGTTTTGCCTTCTAGCGGCGGCGAGCAAGCCGCCGACTACCTCCAGCAAATAGTTGACGAAGCGGAGGAAAAGATTCATTTTCTCTTTACCGCCGACCAACGTGGTTTTGAGGTGGCCAATATGGCCTTAAAGATTAAATATGGCGAAGTGGTGGAAGATAAGAATGTAAAGGCTGCCACTCAAATCGTGGCGGCTAACAAAAAGAGACCTAATCGCCCCACCCATGCGAGCTCCCGTAGCGACCCTCCCCCTCGTGGTCGAGGCCAAGGAGAGCGTAATTGGAACACGTGGCGCCGTGACGGTGACGGGCGTTGTTTCTACTGTCGCGAACCCGGACATGGGATCGCGGATTGCCCCCAGCGTGGCCAGGGCGCCAATAGGCCCACTAAGATTGTGTGAAGATCTATGTATGATTATGCCGTTATAATTTTTCAGATCTACAAGCAACTGTCTTATTTAAAAATGATTGCCCCTTTTTACTTTACCGATGCGATTCTACTAAAAAAAAAAAGAGAGAGAGAGAGAGAGAGAGAGAGAGAGAGAGAGAGAGACAGAAAGAAGATGAAGAAAGAGGGAGGAGGAGAAGGGGTTCAAGAGAGAGAGAGAAGAAAGGAAGGCAGGAGGTAATGCAAAAGAGACGAGTAAAAAAAAAAAAAAAAAAAAAAAAAAAAAAAAAGAAGAAGAAGATGATAAGATACGATTACGTGGCCTCAACACTCACCCTTCTTCGTACGCTCCTCCCTGCACCCCTCAGAGCTGGACGTCCTCGCCGCTCTCGACACTTCACCCACCGGCACACCTTTCATGCGTGGTCGCCTTGGTGCGTGCGCCAGCTGGTGGGCCGCCTGGTCTGATAGCCGCTTCATCATGTCAGTAATCACATCCGGCTACCGTCTTCCGTGGGCATCCTCGGAGCCCACTCCCCACCACGCGGCAAACCACTCGGGTGCCATTCAATTTACCGCATTTGCGGTCGAGGCAGTCACCGAGCTACTAGCGACAGGAGCGGCCCGAATGGTGCCCCCGTCGGAACCCCTCACATGCGTCAGCCCTTTAAATGTAGTCGTCCAACCTTCAAAAAAGAGGCTCATATTGGACCTTCGACACGTGAATACATTCTTGTCCGTCCCACGATTTCGTTACGAGGGCCTTAACCGGGTGCCCGACTTGGTGCATCGAGACGATTGGCTATTCACCATCGATCTGAAGGCCGGATACCACCATGTGGACATCCACCCCGCATATTGGCGGTTTCTTGGTTTCACCCTCCAAGGACAACGCTATCAGTTCCTATCCCTGCCTTTTGGGCTGGCCACTGCGCCGTTTGTCTTCACCCAACTAATCAAGCAGCTCGCAAAGCGCTGGCGCAGCAAAGGCATTCGACTTATCCCATATGTTGACGACATCCTTTTTATAAATGCCACTCGAGCTGAGGCCCTTCGCAATCGAGCTATCATCTTGGCCGACCTCACAGCGGCCGGATTCGTCGTCAACTCAAAAAAATCGCAGCTCGAGCCAAGTCCGTGCCTCAAATTCCTAGGACTCAGACTGGACACGCGCACAACCTCTTTCTCCGTCGACGCTGATCGACGAGAGCGATTGCTTGTCGAGCTCCAACAGACTTGCACGCTTGGCGGGCGGGGGCGGCGCATCCCGGTCCGACGCGTCGCTCGCATTACTGGCATGCTTGCCTCTATGGCGCTCGCCCTCGGCACCCTCGCGCGTGCCTTTTCGCACAATCTACTTTCACAAATCTCGGATTGCTCATCCTGGGGAGACTCAGTCCTCTTGAACGCGGAGTCAATTGACGAGTTGCGCTTTTGGCTCTCCCAGTTCGATGTGTTCAACGGTTCGTGTTTTCACAATCCATATCTATACGACATCGTGATGTATGTGGACGCGAGCGACAGCGCTTGGGGGGCTTGCTATTCCGCACCCGATGGTCGCGTCGGATCGCTTTCATCACACTTACCTCAGGCTCTTGTCGCCTCGTCCAGCACGCTTCGCGAACTCGCGGGAATTCTCTGGGCCCTCTCCTCCTTTGCTGACGAGGTTCAGCGCTGCCACATCCTTCTGCGCAGCGACAGCCAGGCAGCCTATTACACTTTGAGGAAAGGGGGCTCACGTCGTTCCGAGCTGACAATTGTATGCCGGGCCATCATTCAGCTCTGTGTGCGTCACAAGATTCGACTGACGGTCCAATGGATCCCGCGCGAGCTCAATACCGAGGCTGATACATTGTCAAAACTGGAACTTCACGACGACTACTCTCTCGCGCGTCCTTGGTTCCTTTTGCTCGAGAGGCGTTGGGGGCCTCATTCCATTGACCTGTTCGCCTCACCCACCAATGCACAGCTGGCTCGTTATTGCTCCCTGGAGTTTTCGCGAGCGGCCCTCGCGCAGGATGCGTTTTCAATTAGTTGGTTGGGGGAAAATTGTTACGCGTTTCCACCACCACCCCTTATTCCCGCCGTTCTCGCCCACGCTCGCCGCTCAAGAACCTCCCTCACCCTAGTGATCCCTCGCTGGCCTAGTGCCTTTTGGTGGCCTCTTCTACACCCAGACCGTTGGGCTAGTGATATCACCGCAACCCTTAGTCTTGCCTCTGGTTCCAACTGTTTGTGTGTTGGAAGTGATCCTTGGGCATTTAGTGGGGCTGGACTTCCTAACTCTCCTATGTACGCCCTTCGAATAATATTCACTAATAATTAATGCTTTTCGTTACGCAGGTCACCAGCTCGCCCCCCTGCTCTTGGACCTCTTGACGCTCACCGTCGATCTCCGTGCTCAGTCTACAATTCGCACGTACGAGCCATATTGGCGGCAATATTGCGCGTTTTGTACCATGCACGCTCTTCCTTTACTTCCTTCAAGTGATTTGACCGCGGCGTTATTCCTACTGCACTCGATCCGCAATGGCGCCCCTATT